AGAGGAGAATGGAGGAGAAGGGATTGCAGCGTGACCATCCCCCCTGGGGGGTGATTTCTCGCTTTCTGTCTCTATGTCTCTCTCTGTCTGTCTGGTGAGCGAACACGCCCTATAGCGAAAACCTCTCCAAAAAAAGAGCAAGCTGGCAGGTCCATGACTCGAACTGCGGTTGGCCATGTGGGAGTCCAGCACCTTACCCACCATGCCATCCCCACCCCCAAGAGAAGTATTAACAGGGTCTTGTGATCCTCCTACTCCAGCCTCCCGATTAGCTAGGATTACAGGTCCACATCTCAGTGCCCCCATGTCTCAGTCTCCTGCAGTGGTGCCTCCTGCTCGTGCACCATGGCTATGCTTCAAGTCCCTTCTGCAATGCTGAAGCTGTATGGGAAGGTCCCAGGTTCATGTCCCGAGGTGTCCTTGGACACGCCAGGCATGCAGATGTGTGCCTATAATCTTGGCTGGTTGAGGCTGGGGGTGGATCATGGCATGAAGACTTGGTTGAGGGTTCTCCCTGCCTCTCTGAAGATATAAACTTTAAAAGGCACACTAATGTCCATTCACTGAGCACCTGTGACATGCCATGTCACCTTAGAGCAACCTTCCTGACCACCTCTTTGAAGGGGTCCCTCTGTCACTCACCACGCCCCATCTCTTTCCTCCCGTGAGTTTCTTAGCGTGTTAGGATTTATTTGTGTGCCTACTCTCCTCTTCCCATGAGACCGAGCTCCAAAGGGCAGAAGCCATTTATATCAGGCACGAGGCCACCTCAGAGCCTTTGCACACGCCGTGTGACTGCCTGCAACCCTCCTCTGCAATATACCTGCTGCGTTTACTCATGCCTGCTTTCAAGTCCTCACTGCACGTCATTTCTCAGTGGGGCCTCTTCTCCCCGCTCCACTGAAAATGCAACACCACCTCTGTTTCAGAGCCTTTTCCTCTCCCTGCCCAGCTTACTTTGTCTCTCTTCATTGATCAACTACCATGCAACACACTTCGCTGATTTTCTGTCTTCCCTCATGAGAACCAGAGTCCCTTACGGGCAAAAGGTACCTTCTGTTTGGTTTACAGTGATGTTCCTATAGCCCAGAAGACTGCCCGGCACATAGTAGGTGTTCAATAACCGTGGATTTGATCGAATTAGCGACTGTTCCGGGCATAGTTCACTATCTCCCTTCTTTATTCAATGCAAGTTCTATGACCTCTAAAGCCGGGGGCTGTGTCTGGTACACAGTAGATTGTCCACACGAGGGGGCTTGATGGAAAGATGAAGTGAAAACGTGAATTTATTTTGGTGTAAACACGTTTACAATTCATGCATAGTTTCCTCGTAATGCACACTCTCCATGAGCTTGAAGAGTCTTTTATGTATGTAGTGAATAAATGAAGGAATGAGAAAGAGAATGAAGGAAGGAATGAGTCAGTGTGCCAGACACTGTGTAAGGTCTGTCCCCCACTCAACCATAGGCTGAGGTCAGGAATGGTGTCTGGCCTTTTGGCTGCTGTCCATTCAGCCCTCCTACCACACGGGCTGGGTAGACGGCCATTGTAAATATTTACCCCACAAGGTTGAGTTGGGTCATGCCATCTCTACAATCACAGGATGCTACAGCACCCCAGCTAGCGGGGCAACCTCTGAAGCTCAGAGGGGAGCGCCCGGTTTCCAGCACTGGTGGCTGAGTGAGTAGCAGCCCCTCTCCCCCTTGACCTCTCACCTCGTGATGTAGATGTAGGCTCCTCCCAGCAGTAAGGAGATGATGAGGACTGGGATGAAGATCGCCAGCGCCATGTTGCCTCCTTCCAGCGATGACTCGGCTGCCGCTTCTGCTACTGAACACACAAGCCCGTGAGGCCCTCATGTCTCACATGCTCAGCTCACGTGGTACCTGGCTACCTCTCTCAGGTGGGCACCTGCCTTCCCATGTCTGCACCCACTGGAAGAGCTGGTGCCACAGAGCCCTAGACATGGGAGAACCATCTCTAGACAGAGAACTAAGGCAGAGACTAGAGGAAACAGTCTTGCCCTTTTGCAAGAGTCATCCTTGGGTGAATGGCCACAGGGCTACTGAGAACCACACTCCCTAAACTCCGATCTTACATACTCATTTTGGGGGGAGGAAGCATACAGTTGAAATCTGCTTAAAATGCAATTGAATGAAACAGAGAAATCCCAAGTGAGGTGTCTTGAGAAAGGAGACTTACTGGACATTTTCTGGAGTGCAGAGGAGAAATAGGAATGGATCTGGATTGGAGGTTCAAGACTGGTGGGCAAGAATAGGCCACTTGTGTGTGCCTGAGTAGGTGATGCTGGGGGCCAGCCACAGGGTTCATGTAGAGGCTCCCAAACCTGGCTGTAAACCCCAGGAGAAATTTCTTGTACCCAGCTGTAAGCCTCTCCCAGAACTACTTAGTGAGACGCTCCAGTCCAGGGGCAGCCTCTGCACAGCTCTGTGCTCTGCACGCCCTGACGGTGCCCCAGCTGTGGAGATCCAGCCCCGGTTCTGAGAAGCAGTCTTCTCAGTCTCATCTGGAGGCCGCTGCTACCTTCTAACGTCTGCAGCAATCACAAGAGCTCTGATAGCTGTTACGGGGGATGGAGTGTGTTTTCCCTGCACGGCTTGAAGGGAGACACAGCATCTTTTCTAGAAAGTTGGTCTCCAGGTTTCCTCCGCCATTCTTCATGGTCACGTCTAACAGGGCTTAGCTGTACACCAATCTATAATCCATTAACCACCACTTTACGGGGCCTGGAAAATCAATCCTAATGCCCACGATAAATGCACGAGCACAGAACATTATGATGGCATCATTATCTTGAGCAACCCCAGCCCTTGAGGATAGTCTCATGGGTCGCTGCTTGGTAAAGGCAGGGAAGGGATGCCCTGCATCAAGAATGACGCATGAGATGCCCCCTAGTTTCCAAGTAGAGTGACTCACTCGTGCAGCTCCCTACACTCACATCTGAGCCCTGGCTTCACCCGCTTGAGTTAGAGCAGCATCCATTACAAGGGACAGCTACTATGATAATCCTTTATCTGTGGAGCCAGTAGATGGCATGGTGGTTAAGGTGCTGGATTCCCACATGGCCAACCATAGTTCAAGTCCCAAACCTGGTGGCTTGCTTTCTCACTTTCCTCCTCTCCCTTACTCTGTCCCTCTCTGGTCAACTTAAAATAAATAAATGAATGTTAAATAAAATAATTCTTTAAACAACAACAACAAAAAGACACTGAGCGGATGTCTGAAACCTTGGGTAGTATCAAAACCTTCATAAGCCATGTTTTCTCCCGATAAATATGCTTTAGAGAAAGTTTGATTTAAAAATGAGGCAGGTGACAGGCTGACAACAAGAATGGCAAAGCAGTGACAAGATGATGTACTGAAAGCTACAGGGACGTGGTTTCTCTCTCTATTGTATCGTACTCAGGTAACTCAACATGCAGAAAGCGAAACCACAGATGGGGGCTGCAATGAAACGTAACCCACATAACCCAGATTCGGAGAGCACACGTGTCAAAAAACTAAACATGGTTTCAGAAATCCTAATGAAGAAAGACTTCCTTGGTTGAGATAGATATATTTTGTTTGTTTGTTAAGGTTTTTTGCCATAGGGCATGTGTGCTTGCCAGAGACAATGAAAGGGAAAGTGAGAAATCATCCCCCTCTGCCCCCTGCAAGGGGGGATGGCCACACTGCAATCCATTCTCTTCCATTCTCCTCCTGGGATCTTAGGAACACACGTACATGTGCCTGGTGTGATTTTCAAGCCACCAGGTCAGGGACTCGAACTGAGGTCAGCCATGTGGGAGTCCAGGGCCTTAAGCAGCACACCACCTGCTGGCCTCTGGTTGACTCGAACTGAGGAGATGAAACATTTTTGTGAGATGAAACATTTTTGTAAAATGAAACAACTTTTTCTGACAGCACAGCTTAGGTGAGCAGGTTTTGTATCAAACTAACATGAATACAACTTTTTCTGACAGCACAGCTTAGGTGAGTGGTTTTGTATCAAACTAACATGAGTTCTACCCCTGGGAGGGGTTGGAAAAGGGGAAAAAACCCACAAAAATAAAACCCAAACCCAAACTAAAACCTGGAAGGCTTTTACTATCTGTTGCACATCAACACACCTCATTTGAGAACTCCTAATAAAAGGAGAACAGAAGGGAAGATTGGAAAGAAATGGATGGAAAAGGCAGAGGGAAGATATCACAGAAATCTCTGGGGGCAAACTTCTCCCTCCAGAAACCGGAAACCGGAAAGACGCTCAGCATGGAAAGCGAGGCGCGGCTGGATTTAGCAGCCCTCAGGTAGCACCGGGTGGTAGAGCAGCCCAAAAACAGGGTTACACCCTTCTAACTTGGGTTCCCTCGTCGCCCCTGATTGAAATTGTCATGTACTGACTGATGTCAAAGCCCTTTCAGGTTGTATTTAGGATGTTTAGTTGAAAAGCCAATTATTCTCTTCTTTATAATATCATTTGTTTTTACATTATCTTTGGTGGTGTGAAGGCAGAATTTCCTTTAATTGACTTCTTTTTTAAGACAGGCTTTTGCCATGTTGGAATCTTCTTATTTCAGTCTCTCAGTGGGGACGATGGCCATACATCAGCAAGTCTGGCTCTCCCTCTGCCACCATTTTTTTAAGACGGGATCTTGCCATGTTGCCCAGTCCAGACTCAAGCTCAAGATCATCCCATCTTGGCCTCAGAAATCTCTAGAACTAAAGGTACACACCACCACGCTGAGCCTTATACTGAAGCAGGAATCAAACCTGGGTCCACCAAGTGGTCTTAGCCTGTGAAGCATGGTGTCTTAGCAGCGTGTCACCATGGCTTGGTCTATTTAACTTTTTTTTTTTTTTAGGTTTTTGCCATAGGGTCACATATGCCCACCAGAGAGAGAAAGTGAGAAGTCACCTCCCAGGTGGATGGCCACTCTGCGATTCCTTCTCTTCCATTCTCCTCTTGGAATTTTGGGCACACGTGCACATGCGCCACCATGGTTCAGGACTCACACCGTGGGAATCCAGCACCTTAACCACCACCCTACCTGCTGGGCCCATAGTTTTAATTTTTAAAAAGCACCTAGATACAACTTCCTCTATTCACTTGCTGTATTGGATTTCCTCATAGTGGAACTCACCTTCTAAAGCATGTTCAAAACTGTCTTGATTCACTGAAAGAGAAACGAAGAAGCACTGGTCAGTGTAGGTCCAAATCACTGCGTTTGCATGAAACAAAGCCCCGGGGTACAGATGCCAAAGCCCAGGGGACTCTTTTGTGGGCATCCTGCAGTGAGCATTCTGCTTTTATTTATCCTGAGCTGCCACAACCCTCAGGACGACTGGACTCCCTCACTTCCGGTGTTCCCGAGAGGAGACGGGACCCGTAAGAAGGACATGAGAGTGAGAAACGTGATGGGGAATAATCACTGAATGTGTGTCACGTGTCTGATATGGTGCCAGGGTTCCTGTAGACGCTGACTCAGTCAACCCCACAACCACCTCGCGGGGTAGGTGCTGTTACCATCCCTGTTTGACAGAGGTGCAGACAGGCCCAGAGACGTGAAGCGACTTCTCTGACATCACACAGCTTCCAAGTGGTAGAGGCGGGATACACCCACCCGACCTTCCTTCGCCTGTGTCCTTCACAATGTGGGGAGGGAAGGTCTTTTTCATCGTTTCTCTGGAGGCCAAATCTCTGATGAACCCTGAGGCTCAAGATCTTTACACGAAATCCACTTGGAGCTGACATTCTTTTCCTGCTTTGAAATACATATTTGTGTAAGATGTTCTAGCCCCATTTTTACCCTCTGTGTATTTATGTGGCTAGGTTTTATATTCCAGTTATGTTCATTTTCTTGCATTTCCTGTAAAACTCTAGAGGTTCAGATAGCAAGGGATGGCGTCCCATGCTTTGGCTTCAAGGGCATTGTGGGAGCTGAGCGCAGAAACATTTCAAGGACAAGGGTTTCTCCCAGCAGCACTAAACCCCAGCTTGAAGAACTTGGGAGAAAGGATTGCAGCGGAGAGAGATGGGAGAGGGCAGCCATCCAAGGCTTAACGGCCCTCGTTTCATACCCAACCCTACGTCTTCCTAATTAGTACTGTGGTTAAAGTCACTCTCTGATTTATGTCATTGTCATATAATGAGAACTAACCTAGCTGCAAAGCTAATGAACTGACTAGCTAAACTAACCTCTCAGGGTCTCTGACATCAAGAAAATGGGAGACTGAGGTAGAGAGCATCCACTCTAAACATGAGCTGGATCTTGGTGGGTCTGAGGCCTATGGAATCTGAGAACCGGAAGGAGGTGTGGAGTTGTGGAGCTGTGGGTCTCTCAGAGCCTTATTAATGGCCCTAGGCCCTTTCTGGAACTTGCTAGAGTGGCATGGCTGGGGGTAGATTTCTGTGGTTCTCCCCAGCTCCTCAGTAATTCCGAGGCTGCTGTTGGCTGATCCATTGACTCTTTAGAAACACTGATCGGGGTTCAAAAAAAAGTGTGTTTGTTCCTTTTGCTCTTTAAAAACACTTGTCGGGGTTCAAAAAAAAAAAAAAAAAAAAAGAACCAGAGGCAGAAGTGACTTCACCAAGGACAGTGGGTGGCCTGTAGCTGAGTGACTTCACCAAGGTCAGTGGTGGTCTGTAGCAGAGCCAGGCCAAGCCTGGGCCAGTTGGGAAGAGGAAGTGACTTGTCATTTCCTCATAGGGCTGTCGGGGAGGAGCGTCTCAGCAGTAAAGATGGAGAGGAGGAAGGCATGAGGGCCTCCCCAGAGCCTGTGGTGCTAGGAATTCGGTCATGCTGTGGAAGAAAACATGGGGCAGGGGGCTGACTCAGCTGGTAGTAGATGGAAAATAACATTTAGGGAATAATCTGAAAAAAATTTGGTTTAATCTTTTCATGTTTTTTTAATCATGCGTGTGTGTATATATATATTTGTGTGTGTGTGTATTTCCAGAGGGCATGTTTGCTCGCCAGAGACAGAGAGGGAAGTAGAGAAAGCACCCCCAATGCGGCATGATCAAGCCACAATCCCTTCTCCATTTTTCCATCTCGTCATCAAGCCACAATCCCTTCTCCATTTTTTCATCTCGTCTGGATTTGGGGCATGCAGGTGCCCATGCCTGGCATGTTTTTCAAGCCACCAGGGCTGGGATTCGAACTAGGGATCCAGCTTAGCCACTAGCCTACGGGGCTGGCCCAAATGTTTGTGTATTTTCTGATGCGGTCGCATTTTCCTATCAGATTGGCAACGTTAAAAAAACCTGGCAACACCAATGTTGGCGAGGATATGCGGAAACAGACGCTATCATCCACAGGGAAGAGCGAATTGCACCAGGTTGTGAGGAAGGCTGACAGTGTCCACAAAACTCAGGAAGCTTGCTAGTTCACTTCGGGGGACCCGCCTGACTACCCCAGCATGCATGTGCCCATGACCTGAGGCTGGTTGAAGCTAGGGGAGGACTGCGGTGTCAAGACTCTGTTGGGGGTGCAGGCTGAATCTCTTCCCCCCCCCAAAAAAAAAAAAAAAAAAAAAAAAAAAAAAAAAAAAAAGAGCCAGCCCATAGATTGGTGGTTAAGGTGACTGGGTCCCACATGGTTGACTGCACTGTTCGAGTCCCAGATCCAGCACTTGAGAAACAAGGCCAGCACGTGTGTGCATGTCCGAAATTCTGAAATGAGGGAGAGATGGACAGAGGAGAGTGCAACGTGGCCATTCCCCCATGGGAGGTGCTCCATCAGTCTCTCTGTCTCTGTCTCTCTCCACACATGCACGTGCCTGCTGGCTAATTAAGAAAAAACACAAAAACAACAGACCTCATCCTCCAGAGATCTGTACCCCGTTATCGGTCCCCCTTTGGGGAATCTGTCCCGCAGGGTGACACGCCATGATTCATGGGCAAGGATGTTTTTGGCAAAAACAAAACCAGAGAGACAGACAGACAGACAGAACTGGCAGCTCCATCAACAGAGGACATGGTGGGTGCGTCAGGAAACGTTCGCAGCGTGGCGCGATGGGCAGCGATGGAAAAACTTGAGCGATGCCGCTGATACGTGGAGAAAAGGCAAAACAGAATAATGGCTAGCATGATCTTTTTGGGGTTGTTGTTGTTAAAGAAAAATAGGTACCCCTTCCTTCACGTTCCAAGTTTGTCTGTCTGAGTCCAGGGAAAGATGAGATGGGAAACTTAGATGGTCAGTTCTAGCTTCCAGAAAGGATGGAGGAAGGGGAGAGAAAATCCACTCGTGTTTCACTGGCAACTCTGATTTCTCCTTGTTCCACGAGACGCTGGGTAATTATTCAGAGAAGAATTCAACAAGTCCTGGGGCAGTTGATGTGTGGCACCTAAAGTAGCCCTTCTCCTGGTTTCCTTACTGAGGTTTTCTTCAGAACAAACCTTGTTAATATGTTTTTCCCACAGAAAACTTACCAACCCCAAATTGAATTAACTTTGGTTAGTGTTCGAGTAACAGACAGAGGAAATCTTAACTCTGAAAAACTTTCCGGTGTTGTAACTCCACACAGCAGATGGTTTTGCTTATCCATTCATCAGTGGATGGACATTTGGAATGTCTCCGTCCTTGGGATACAGTGACTGATGCTGCTATAAACATGCAAGCACAAGTGTTTCTTTTTAATGCAAAATCAGGAGCTTTTATTTTCATTTTTAGTTTGTTATTGGGTGTGTGTGCCCTTGCCAGGCAGACAGGCAGAGAGGAAAAGTGAGAAAGCACTTTAAAAAAAAAAAAAAAGCACTTAAAAAAGAAAGACCTGTCAGCTCATCCAGCCAGGTGGGATCCAGCCGCCGTAACCACCATGCCACCGGTTGGCCCACAAAGTGTCTGTTTGAATACCTGTTTTCAGTTCTTTTGGGCATATACCTAGGAGTGGAGAAGCAGGCTACAAAAAGTGTGTTTAAGTCTTAAAACTGGGGTTCCTGAATAAGGCATTTGGGAGCCCACGGAAGTTATGCGTTCCTAAGTAGAATGTGGAACTTCACGCTTTGCTCCCCTGGAGCGCGAACTGATCGTGTTGCCTGATTCTCAAAGGGAATCGTTTAAAACATTGCACATATCGAGGGTGTTATTATTGACTGTACACCTCCAGGGCCCAGAGGCACGGATCCAAATTTCACTCGGCGTGTCACAGCTTAATTTCAATGAACGGTTATTTCCTTGATCTGAAGATGCAATTTGCCCACGACCGGTTCTGAGATGGGGCGTGCCTTTCCATTAACGCTGGATTATGATCGCTGCCACCAGGGGGCGCGCACGGTTTCCGTTGGGTCTTGAACCCGGAGCGCAAAATCGCCAGCATTTGCAGAAGGGGCGTCAGCGCTCTCAGGGAACGCCCCGCCGGCAGCAGGGGAGCGCTCTAACCCACGGGGTCCAAGTGGTTGAGAAAAGGGAGTGCCGAGGTGATCCTGTGTAAGCCACATTCTCCGAGCATTAGCCCAAAGCAGGCTGGCTCTCTGGCCAGGACTCACCATTGCGACACTAGGAGTGCGTTTTCCTTTTGTTTCAGGCGCCTGTCTGGCCTCACCCGAGTCCAGCCCAGCTCTACCAAGGACTTCCCTTCTTTTCTGGATAGGGAATTCCGTGGCGTCCATGCGTTTGGGGCAATATTGAACCGAAAAATGGGGCAGCGAAGATTCTGAATCGAAAATGATTCCAAAGTGTCAGACTCTGAAGTTTGGGATGTTTAAAAACCCTGGAACCAACTTGTTTATATTTTTACTATAATGTCATCGGAAGTGTGATGTATGGTAAACGTCTAAGCTTCACAGAGCTCCTTCTTAGTAAGTAAAAATAAAAATGCTAAACAAGAAGACAGCGTGTCATAGTTTAATTGGCACCTTTTTTCCCCCTTTCTCAGTGATGCATACAGCATTTGTGGCATCTTTGATGGAATAACATCCAGAAATCTCACTTTATAAAACAAGACTCCCTGTGAGCCAGTCTTGTCATCTCCAGGCCCCTTGAATCCCATGTGGTGAATAGGTTTCTTTCCCTTTATTTTATTTTTAACTGTGATGAGAGAGAGAGAGAGAGAGAGAGAGAGAGAGAGAGGGAGAGCAATTCCCCATGGGGTGTGATTATGCTAATATTCCATCTCCATTTTGCCAAACCAGGATTTGGGGCATGCATGCACACACACTGGGCATGTTTCTCCAAACCACCCGGGCCGGGATTCGAACCACCGTTGGCCACGTGGGACCCAGCTCTCTAGGCACAGGGCTTACCCACTGTGCTGCTGGCCTTTACCTTTACACACGGGCAGGGGCCCGTTCCAGTGGGATGGCTGTCCCAGGATGCAGCGGATGGTCACCTCGCCCATGAGCTCGAAGCCCTCGTAGCACATGAAGGTCAGGGACTCCCCAGGCAGGTAGAGTCGCTTATACAGGATTTGGTACCCGTTTTCAGGCAACCCTGGGTTGTCACAGGCCAGAGACTCCTCCGCTGAAATGCAAGCCAAAAGGAGCACCGATGAGTTCACACAGCTCTTTGGGGACCGCTGATCAGAGCCGCTGCGGTTGGCTTTAGTCATCCTGTTCAGCATCCTCCCTCTGCAGTCCCCCCTCGCATCCGACTCACCTTCCTCTCTCCCACCCCCGGGCACAGATTGCACATGGCATGGAAGGATGAACCGGACTGTGGAATACGGGTCAGAATCTGGCCTCTGTTACTAGCTGTGTGTCCCCCAGTAAATGACATAATCTCTCTGGTCTGCATTTTTCTTAGCACGATGGGAACGATAGTATTTATCTCACAGAGATGTGAGGACTCAATGAGATAACAAGTGTGCATGTCTCTCTCTCTATTTTATTTTTATATGTGTGGAGAGAGAGAGAGAGAGAGAGAGAGAGAGAGAGAGAGGGAGAGCAATTCCCCATGGGGTGTGATTATGCTAATATTCCATCTCCATTTTGCCAAACCAGGATTTGGGGCATGCATGCACACACACTGGGCATGTTTCTCCAAACCACCCGGGCCGGGATTCGAACCACCGTTGGCCACGTGGGACCCAGCTCTCTAGGCACAGGGCTTACCCACTGTGCTGCTGGCCTTTACCTTTACACACGGGCAGGGGCCCGTTCCAGTGGGATGGCTGTCCCAGGATGCAGCGGATGGTCACCTCGCCCATGAGCTCGAAGCCCTCGTAGCACATGAAGGTCAGGGACTCCCCAGGCAGGTAGAGTCGCTTATACAGGATTTGGTACCCGTTTTCAGGCAACCCTGGGTTGTCACAGGCCAGAGACTCCTCCGCTGAAATGCAAGCCAAAAGGAGCACCGATGAGTTCACACAGCTCTTTGGGGACCGCTGATCAGAGCCGCTGCGGTTGGCTTTAGTCATCCTGTTCAGCATCCTCCCTCTGCAGTCCCCCCTCGCATCCGACTCACCTTCCTCTCTCCCACCCCCGGGCACAGATTGCACATGGCATGGAAGGATGAACCGGACTGTGGAATACGGGTCAGAATCTGGCCTCTGTTACTAGCTGTGTGTCCCCCAGTAAATGACATAATCTCTCTGGTCTGCATTTTTCTTAGCACGATGGGAACGATAGTATTTATCTCACAGAGATGTGAGGACTCAATGAGATAACAAGTGTGCAGGGTTAGGATTTCTTGGCACGTTATGGGTGCTCAGGAGATGGCGGCTGTTTAATCACGAAATAGTCTCACCTTACAAGACCTAACCTGCCCATCTAGCCTGGCTAGGTCTTACCTATTTATTATTTTTTTTTAGAGAGATTTTTGCAATAGGGTCTGTGTGTGCTTACTGGAGAGACAAAGAGACATAAAGCGAGAAATCACCTCCTCCCCTGGGGGGATGGCCCTGCCATAATCCCTTCTCCTTTATTCTCTTCTTGGGATTTTGGGCATGCATGCACATGCATTCTGTGTGAGTTTCAAGCCGCTGGGTCTGGGACTTGAACCACGGTTGACTATGTCAGAGTCCAGTGACATAACCATTAGGCCATTTGCTGGTCTTGGTCTTGTCTTTTAATACTCCTCCTCTTCCAGGAAGCCTTCCCTAAGATCTCTTATCAACTGAATCACCAGTCTTTTCAGTTCTTCCTCCACCTCAGAACGGCATATGCTACATCGCATTAAGTTAGATGATGTGATACCGATTTTCCTCACTGGAGATGCCGCTGTGGAGGCAAGCCGGAAGATCAGGGTCTGGGATATGGCGGATATACAGTAAATGGTTCCAACTCGTCAGCCCACACTGCCCTCTGGTGGCTGTTCTCCTCAGCTGCAGACGCAGACACAAAGTCCCTGTAGCTTGAGATGAACTAGCAGGCTTAACCTTTCCCTGGGGCCAGCAGGTGAGCTAGTTTTTCTTCATAGCAAACATGTTCTTTTTTTTCTTCTTTTTTTTATTTTTTACAGAGGACTGCAAATCCTAAAAAAAAAATGACTTATATCTTACTTAAGAGGTCAAACTATGATAAAATCCACGTAGCACGAAACCTGCCATTTTGCAGTGCTGGGTCCATGCGCAGTGTTTTCAGCACTCTTTTCCTCTTGCAGGTCAGAGATGTTGTACCACTGGGCATGCCCTTCCTCAGCTGTGCAGCCCCTGGCAGTCATCACTCTACTTCCCGACCCCCTCATGTGCCACTACTCTAGGTCCTTCGGCTAAGCGGGTCCTACCAGAGCTGTCTCTCTCTTTTTTTTTTAATTTTTATTTTTTAGAGGTTTTTGCTATAGGGCGTGTACCCTCGCCAGACAGACAGAGAGAGACAGAGAGACAGAAAGCAAAAAATCACCCCCCCCAGGAGGGATGGCCACGCCGCAATCCCTTCTCCTCCATTCTCCTCTCGGGATCTTGGGCACGCATGCACACGCATCTGGTGTGAGTTTAAGCCACTGGGTCCAGGACTTGAACCGCAGTCGACTACGTGGGAGTCCAGCAACATAGCCATTACGCTAACTGCTGGTCCCCAGAGCCGTCTCTTTTTGACTGGCTCATTGCACTGGGATAAAGTCTTCAAGGTCCATCCATGGAACTTCTATGCGGCAGAATTTCTTCCTTTCTTTTTGTTTTTAAAAAAGAATTATTTATGTAATTTTATTATTGTCATTATTTTAAAACTTTATTATTATTATTTATACATTCAATCGCTAGACATCATTTAGCTTGTCAAGAGACTTTACCCAGCTTGATACACACCTCAGTCCCGCCCAGTTGAGAATACTGTACACATCCTCACCCACAGATAATAAGCCATTATCTGTGTCCCACAAATGTCTTACCTCTCTATTTTTTCCCCCAAATTTCCTTTCCTATGCTCTTCCCCTCCCGCATTTGCTATAGGCTCACCAGGGAGAGACAGGCGAACAGAGCAAATGTGAGGAAGCAGGCCGCCAGATCTGGGACGTGAACCGTGGTTGGCCATGTGGGAGTCCAGTCACCTTGACCACCATGCCACCTGCTGGCCCAATTCCTTTTTAAAATGGAATAATAAATAGGGCCCACAGACGGCCTAGTGGCTATGTCCCCGGACTCCTACATGGCCGACCGTGGCTTGAGTTCTGACCCAGTGGCTTGAAACTCACGCTGGGCAGGTATGCTTGTGTGCCCAAGACCCCAGGAGGAGAATGGAGAAGGGATTGTGGTGTGGCCATCCCCCTGTGGGGTGATTTCTCACTTTTCCTCTCACCGTCTCTGTCTGTCTCTCTCTCTGGCGAGTGCACATGGCCTAAGGCAAAAACCTCTAAAAAATTAAATAAATAAGTAAAACAGAAAACTATTTCATTGCATGGACCACCCGAATTCTGCCAATTCACTTCACTGTCGATGGACCTAGGGGCTGTTTCCAGCTTGGGCTGTTGGGAAGAGAGCCGCCATGAACGTGGATATACAAATATCCATTCACATCTTTGCTTTCGGTTCTTTGGGGCATATACCCAGAAGTAGAATTGCTGGACCCTCTGCCAATTTTATTTTTAATTTTGTTTTTGAATCACCATATTATTTTCCACACTGCCCCCCACCCCCCCATTTTCCATTCCCATTGGCAATGCGCAAGGGTTCTGTGTCTCCATATCCAATCCTAAAGCAGTTTATCCTTCTCCTCTGGAGCTTGATTCGACTCAAGACAATCCATGTCTTCAAATATCACACCGGGCACTTGTCATCAGTGTTTCAAGGAAAGAGAAGGAAAGCGTGGCCGTCAACAGCTTCCAATACCCGCCTGGTGGACCAAACTCCCTGAAGGCATGGCCTGTTCTCTTTTCTACGTCAAGTATTCAAGTATTTCTGTGACGTCCAAATGATTTTTGCAGCTTACTGGTGTCGTCCCCACGCCTGTCATCCTCTCACCCCGACAGACCCTTGGTTCTGAATGTTGAGCAGGTTGTCGTTCCAATCTGACCTGAAAATCCTGCTGCACCTTGAGGGGACACCATTTCTCCAGATTTGGTGTTCCAAATCCTTTTCATCTCCTGCTGCTGTCTCTAACTTTTTTTCCCACACAGAACTAGTTGCATTTTGCTCCACAAATGGCACAACCTTTTTTTTTTTTTCTTTTAAGATTTTTGCCATGGGGCCAGCAGATGGCATCATGGTGGCATCATGGTTATGTTGCTTGACTCCCACGTAGTTGACCGTGGTTCATGTCCCGGACCCGGTGGCTTAAAACTCACGCCGGGCGCGTGTGCATGCGTGCCCAAGATCCCGAGAGGAGAATGGAGGAGAAGGGATTGTGGCGTGGCCATCCCCAGCAGGGGATTATTTCTCACTTTTTCTCTGTGTATCTCTCTGGCGAGTGCACGGGCCCTATAGCAAAAATCTCTCTCTCTCTTTCTCTCCAAAAAAAAAAAAAAGATTTTTGCTATAAGGCACGTGCACTCGCCAGAGAGATACACAGAGAAAAAGTGAGAAATCATCCCCTGCGGGGGTTGGCCATGCCACAATGCCTTCTCCTCCAATCTCAGGATTTTGGGCACCCAGAGACGGCAGAGATGGCCATGTGGGATCCAGCACCTTAACCACCTCGCCACCTGCTGGTCATAGATGGTACTATTTTAACCCGTGGTGCTTTGTGCTGTTCTTTCTGCCAGGAGCTCTTTCCCGTCCCATCCACAGTGGTCTAGGGTGAACAAATGCTACGGCAGCCTCCGTGATCCCTGCTCCTGGGATTCATGGTCTCTGCATGTGGGCAAAGACTGTGACAGAACATGGCGAAGGGGCTGGGATGTCACTTCTGCCATGATGCTACGTCAGACTGGAACTTCCTCCTGACCAGCAGACCCTTACTGGTGTGAGGGAAGCCATCGGCCATGCTGTGAGCTGCCCAATGGACAGGCCCATGTGGAAAGCAGTTGAGGGAAACCTCTGGCCAACAGCTGGTGAAGAACTGAACCCTGCAGATGACCACATGAACTTGGGCGTGCCCCTTTCCCTGGCCGGACATTCGGAGGGGACCTTGGACCTCAAATTTCAAGTGCACAAGGGGTCTTCAAATAGTTCACGGATGGGGCAGACCTAACATGCTGCTCGAGAGAAGTAGGATCCCACACAACCACTGCCATGTGAACCTCATGCCAGATACGTGCAGGGGTGCCCACGTGGGTGCCCAGGATCCTCTGGGCTGGACGGGAGGGTGGCATGATCAGACTCTACAGAGGGAGCTTGTCTCTTTCTCTCTCTGTATCTCTCTCATGTGCACACTTGCACTCCATTATGAGTAAAAAAAAAAAACAAAAACGAGTTCATGGAAAACATTGATTTCAATTCTTTTTTGCACCAAAACAAAGATAAACTTTGATTTCCTCTTTCCACCAACTGGTCCTATTACTTGCAGTGCAGCACAGCAACCAGCAGGTGGCAGTGTTCACTAGGAAGGATTTCCCCACAACATCTAGTCTGCCAGGAATTTAACAAATTAATTAATACAAAAAACATTTATTAGAGCATCTTGTATGTACCAGACACTGTTCTTGGCCCTGGATATAAAATGATGAGCAACATCGACATGGTCCCTGTCTCCTTGAAACTTAACAGTTCATTCCTTTAGGTATTCCATAAATATGTCCCAAATGCAATTTTTTTTTTTTGAGAGAGATTTTTGCTACAGGGTGTGTGTGCTTGCCAGAGAGACAGAGACAGAGAGAAAGAAAGTGAGAAATCACCCCCCCCCCCCAGAGGCGATGGCCACGCTGCAAACCCTTCTCTTTCAGTCTCCTCTTGGGAATCTTGGCATGTGCGCACACATGCCTGGTGTGAGTTTCAAGGTGCTGGGTTCGGGACTTGA